CTGCTCTCCCCGCCACCTCTCCCACTACCACTTGTCCACTTCGCCACTGCAGCTGCCATTTCGGCGCCAGTACCCTCCTCCTCCCAGCCACCTCCACCACTCCGGTTCATCCGACATTGGTATGAGCGTGCGTACAGTTGGGTTCCCTCTGCGGTAGCGCCATAACTTAGGGCGCTACACCACAAGCATTGGCGACAAGTCTCGTCTTGCATGCAGAAGAGGGTGGCACAAGAATGTAAGAGTGACGCAAGGAAGCAATGAAGACTCGCACAGGCAGAGACAAGGCAATCAGGCCATGATGAATAACGAAGGAAGAGGTTAACGAAAGCAAAGAACGGTGATGAAAACATAGGTAAGCAAATAAGGGGAAACACAACCGTAAAGGTGATACATGTAAATAAATAACTGTGAGGAGATTGATATGTGTAGAAGACGATGTAATCACAGCCAGGAGCTGTGAATCAACCCTTGCAACCACAGAGTACGTACACACACACACACACACACACACACAACACGTGGGACAAAGGGTGCAAACTTCACTTACGGTGAAGGACTTCGAGGCTAGCATGGCACCGAACATGTTACCACAGATGCAAAGCAACCGACTAACCTCGGCAATAAATGGTAGTCAGACAAATCTCAGATTAGTCTTCAGAAATCTCCAGAAGGAGTCGTTGACAATACTATGTATAGGATATGCAAAACAATCACTGCAAAAAATAATAATGAAATTCCAAGTGCTTTCGTGATTTCTCATTTTACAAAGGACCTGAAATAATAATAACAGAACAGCAGAAGGCTTATAAGGCTGACATATCACCTCACGGTCACATCAGACGTTACACTCGGGTGTAATGTTGGACGTGACCGTGAAGTGATATGTCAGCCTTATATAGCATTCTGCCGTTATTATTACAGATCCTTGACAAAGTGAAAAATCACGAAAGCACTTAGAATTTCATTATTTTTTCACCGTGGTTGTTCTGCATATTGTGATATCACCGTTTACTGTGATCTTATTGTATATAGCACCAGTACCAACCTACACCTAATCAAGAACATTAAGAAACTGAAGAAAGCTCAGAGTTTTGCAACGAGATTAATATCATAGCTAAATTACTAAATTACTGGGAACGGTTGAAGGCCCTTGATTTGTATTCCCTGGAACGCAGGCGAGAGAGATACATGATAATATACACTTGGAAAATCCTAGAGGGATTAGTACCAAACATGCACATGAAAATCACTCTCTATGAGAGCAAAAGACTCGGAAGGAGATGCAACATTTCCCCGATGAAAAGCAGCGGCGCCACGAGTAAACAGAGAGACAATGCAGTAAGACTGTTCAACAGCCTCCCAGCATACATAAGGGGGATTACCAATAGACCCCTGGCTGTCTTCAAGAAGGCACTGGACAGGCACCTAAAGTCATTACCTGACCAACCGGGCTGTGGTTCGTCGTTGATCAGACCCTGATCCACCACGAGGCCTGGTCTCAGACCGGGCCGCGGGGGCGTTGACCTCCGAAACCCTCTCCAAGTAAACTCCAGGTAAACGGGGTATGAGCATTGGAAAAAAACTAGAGGAGCTAAAACAATGACAGTGAGAGCACAGAAAAAAAACAAGAGTGATATGATGATGAAGTAGAAAATCCTGAGAGGAATTTATAGGGTGGCCAGGAAAAGGTTGCTCGAGAGGCGGGAAACAGGTACAAGAGGACAAAGACGGAAAGTTGAAAAACACAGAATAGTCATAGGGATGTTAGGAACTATATCTTAGGGCACCGAGTGTCAGAAAATGGAAGGAACAGTGGAGTGGCAGAGGCAGGATTCATACACAGCTTTCAGCACAGACTCAACTTAGAGTGAAACGTCGCCCTAATCAAAGCTTCTTCTCCAACGCAAGATTATTTTCTTTCTATATCAGACGCAAAACAGGTAAAGTCTTTAAATTCAGTATTTCCGTCTGGTGGGTGAATTGCTAACAACCTCTGCGTCACACATCGTTCTTGTGTCAAGTACCAGAGTCCGAACAATTTTATTCAGAAAGAAACTGACTCGGGCTTTTAACGATTTTCTGGAGTCCGAACACGCTGTCTTATTTAAAATTCAGTTGTAAAAAACTACAGGAAAGCCCTGTTTCAGAAGTGCTTTGAAGTGACCTCTGACACTGACATAACTCTCAGAGACTCTTGGAAGAATCAGTTCAACATCCTCCAGTGTGTGAGGCTGATAATTAAAGCCTGGAAAATACTGTTTCGGGCATCGAACTTTTCGCAATTGTAACACCACCTAGGAACCAATTAAGTTCAGACACTGAGTTCCACTGTAATGATTCTCGCTAAGTGCAAGAGGCTACTGTATCAACGGCCTATTAGACTCACGAAATCGTAATGACACGATTGCGAAACAAACCATACCACGGGTGGGGTTAGAATCCGCTGGCCCAGTGGCTAAGGCGTCGGTCTGGAGTTTTATGACTCTTATTGCGGGTTCTAACCCCACCCGTGATATGACTTTTTCGGCCTATTAGATTAAGAACCCAGCCTATTAGCAAGTGAATACAGAATACATACACCGAGAGGTCTCTTGTGTATATATACAGTGAGAATTGACTTTAATTTCAATTTCAAGTACCTGGAGTATACCTGGAGGGTATACTCCAGGTATACCATTGCCCAGGTCTCCCAGTATCTCAGGGCCTGATCAACCAGGCTGTTACTGCTGGCCGCACATAGTCTAACGTACGAACCACAGCCCGGCTGATCGGTATTAAAGCATTCTTGTCTGGTGGTGCAATAGTTACATACAGCCTTAATGACCCTCGTGAAGTCGATAGGCATGAAACCCCATTAACCACCAAACCACCCAGCATGTGAGGCAGTTAATGGGTGTAGTAATTAAGTCAGAGACACCATTATAACAGTTAATGAGAGTTGTAATTAAGAGTAAAAAAACACTGTTGAGACAACATACCATTTCATGGGATTTTTATATTAGTCACTGCGGGCGAAACGTGTCTTCAGTAAACGTCTTGAAGTGTTTCTGTCTTTATCCACTATACTTTCTGTGTCGCCATGCCTTCTCTCTAGTCATGACTTTATTGCACAGTGTTTCTCTTAAAGATGAGCGAAACGTCGTTTCTAAGCGATTTTGTAAATGTGAATCGACACAGTGTGTTGCCGACAACATTTTGTTCTGTATCTAGAGCTTTATCAAGCGTGATAAAGCTGAACACTGGGCGAAACCTTGTCCAATTAATGATCTGCAACGTCTGAGACTCACGACTTGCCAGCAAGTTTCAGATGTAGACGATGTTTCGCTCGAAAAAATGTTCTACGTGGAGCGAAACATCATCTATAAATAAGTGGGCCGCCAGCAGCAACAGCCCGGTTGACCAGGCCAAATTTAAGTGACTCTTGAGGGCGGTCGAGATTGGCTCTGTTGTTTTTCTGCTCTCGATCACAGGAACTGAAGCTGCCCCTCCCCTTCCTCGTATCAAACCTGAATGTCTCTTAATCTCTATTGCAGGTCTGTCACTTCCCGCGATAATAATAATAATAATAATAATAATAATAATAATAATAATAATAATAATAAAACTAATCATAATACTAATAATAAATAACAGCAATAATAATAACGATAATTAATATTAATAATGAATTACAAATAATAATTAATAATAAATTTTAAATAATAATAATAATAATAATAATAATAATAATAATAATAAATCGCTGTGATGGAGAAATATTCAATTAATTTTAATTTTCTTTTTATGTAAAGCGCTAAAACCTAATGGATTATTCCATAACAAGGAATGGTGTAAGCTCGATCCTCCGTCCAAAAGTCACTAGAGGCGTATTAAACCACTCACAAGCCAGTATTATCATTCTGCTGATGCACTAAGATATCATCATCAAGAATAATAATGATTAAAACGTTATGACGCTGCTGATATTAAAATATATATAAAAAATATTAATAATTCTTCTTATTATTATTCTATTAATTATGATCGTTAAGATATTTTTTTCTGAACCAGAGACGGCTAAAAAAAAAAATAGGGAAACTCTCGAAGTCTTTCAAAGGTATACCAAAGGGTAAAGGTAACGTCTTACATAGGAAGAGAATCAAGACTCAGATAATAATAATAATAATAATAATAATAATAATAATAATAATAATAATAATTAATAATAATAATAATAATTCAATGAATAATCATAATTGAGTTATTATTACCAGCCTATGTTGCAAGATGTTAAAGAGAGAGATATATGCTGATCACGTAGCTATGCCTCATTCACATTCTACTGAGAAGGTCGTCACATTCATTAGAGTATGCCGGCCAACTCATTCCATCGCGTCTCTCTGACTTTAATAGCACCGCAAGTTATGAATGACTGAATGAAAAAAAAAAGAATACCCAGGTAACTAGCTCATGTTTCTCTGTGGGAGTTCCAGCTTCATTCTTAAGATCTGGTTCAGTGATTATGTCTCCCTTTCATCTCGAGGCTTCAGTCAGGTGTGTGTGTGTGTGTGTGTGTGTGTGTGTGTGTGTGTGGTGTGTGTGTGTGTGTGTGTTTTGCTAGGAGACTACGTACTGCTGCTAGGAGATATTTATCTAGGAAAGGAATAAGGTACTTGTGAGTGCTGGTACTCACCTAAGGTAGTACTCCAGACAGGCGTGAGTGCTGGTACTCACCTAAGGTAGTACTCCGGACAGGTGTGAGTGCTGGTACTCACCTGAGGTAGTACTCCAGACAGGTGTGAGTGCTGGTACTCACCTAAGGTAGTACTCCAGACAGGTGTGAGTGCTGGTACTCACCTGAGGTAGTACTCCAAACATGTGTGAGTGCTGGTACTCACCTAAGGTAGTACTCCAGACAGGTGTGAGTGCTGGTACTCACCTGAGGTAGTACTCCAGACAGGTGTGAGTGCTGGTACTCACCTGAGGTAGTACTCCAAACATGTGTGAGTGCTGGTACTCACCTGAGGTAGTACTCCAGACACGGGGGCCAGTTTGGGTGGTCCTCGACACAGTTCCAGTTCCTCGTAGATGTGGTCACGGGAATCGACCACAGCGACACTGTTCCTTTGGCGTCCTCTGGAGGAGCTGAGGGCTCCTAACCCAGCCCCAGCGTGTACTGACCCAGCAGACCCCATGCCTGAAGACGGTGGCCTAGCAGGAGAGAAATATCTGTTACATATCTAGCGAAGAAAGGGCGCCTTGGCAATGACTTCACTGCCAAAGATAATAGTTCTAAATCTAGGTTGAACATAAAGGAGAAATAGTGCAGCAGGCCTACTGGCCCATAACAGGCAGGTCTTTCTGAAACCCAAACCCACTAACAATCATATTTGCCCGACCCATTTTCAATGCTACTCAATTAACTCTATTAACTCATGTGCAAATCTCACTCAAATCCATCCCTTCTCACTCATGCATTTACCTAACCCAGACAGTGCTTCTCACCAGACAGTCTCGGTGGGGACATCCAAGTCCTCTGCTATCAGTCTTCCCCATGTACTCTGACTTTCAAGTCTTGAAAAGGATCACTCGCGAGTGAAGCACTGAAATGTTGTACCCATAGAGGATTTTACTGATGATAGCGTCTTATCAGGTGCAGTGAAGTCACTGCTACTTGTATTTCTTTCCTGATCACGAACCAGGTGTGTAATTAGGTAAAAGAAAGTGTCTCTCTCTGTCTCTGTCTATTTCTCTCTCTCTCTCTCTCTCTCTCTCTCTCTCTCTCTCTCTCTCTCTCTCTCTCTCTCTCTCTCTCTCTCTCTCTCTCTCTCTCTCTCTCCTCACCTTCTGGGCAGGGGTCTTAGTGGAGGTGGGCGCTGAGTGTGTGTTGGGGTAAGTCTTACAGAAGACGGAGTTAGTCTTGTGGGAAGCGCTGGACGCGCTATGGGCGTAGTTCTTTGCGAGGAAGTGGCCGTGGGCGTGGTTCTTTGCGAGGGAGTGGCTGTGGGAGTGGTTCTTTGAGCAGGAGTGGGCGTGGTTCGAGTAGCGGAGGCTAAGATGATGGTTGATCGGGTGGACTGTGAGGTCAGGCAGGTGGTTTTGGTGGTGGAGGTGGTGCTTGTAAGGGGCAATGCACAGCGCACGCTACAGTTCACCTGACGTGACGACACTTGCCCAGGTGTCACCAGCACTGCGGAGGCAAAGAAACACACTCACATTATTTGAGGGAGAGGCATAATAAGACTCCCTAATCCATGAAACAGCGAACCCATTAGCGGCCACCGAAGAGGCGAGGCCAGGAGCCTAGACTCAACCCCTGCAACCACGTATAGGTGAGTCACTATAGGTGAATACAGTATACATTTCAAAATGCTTTTCCTGACCGTATCATGTTACAATAGCCACAGGAACCTGCAGATATTGCAAAATGCCATTAACTCGCACTGTGTGTCTTATTTAACCAGACAATCGAAATTTGGTCCGGAAAAGCGAGATGGGCAGCATCTTCCCAGCATCGTCTCTGGTTGCTGATGCTGCGTCAACTAGACGAGACTAAGTACTAACAGCTCATTAAATAGTATACTATTTCACAATTTTTACAGATCCTCATTTTTTTCTTTCCAGTAAGAATGCGCAAAACATGAGGCTCAAATCCAGAAGTTTAGTACAATTACTGTTTTTTTTTTTAAGAAATACTTTAAAATCTGGGGTGAGAATGATTTTAATCTATCCCTGATTACAGGCATTTACTGTGACATGCTGAGGTGAGGTAGATGACATGAATATGAAGTGGCTATCTTTATTAACGACAACGTTTTGCCCACACAGAGAGATTAATCACGACATTGACTTGATAAAGCCCACAACTGTTGATTTGTTTGTGACTTGATAAAAACCCTCTTCGTGAGTGAAACGTCGAAATAACAAGAGGCCTACCTTTTTTATTGTTTCGTTCGTAGCCTAACCATTTCTAGCACATAAATAACTTGATACGAACTTAACACACGAATGTAACATGGCTGAAGAGGTACACAGTAGTATTTTATGGCTATAATTAAAACCATAATTTTTAAAGGGGTGGACCGGTGAACCAGCAGAAGGAATTGGACAGACGACCAAAAGCTTCATCTGTGGGTCATCATATAACTAAGACCCGTGTCAGGAAACACTTGTCCTGTTTCCTGACAAACCTTACCTAACCTAACCGAATGTAAGATGGCAACTGTTCTTTTGATCAGTTGTAGACAGCCTGTACTGTCTGCAGAGACAGCCTGTACTGTCTGCACATACAGCCTATGCTGTCTGCCAGCTTAGTTCATATTTCGCGGCACTAAGGTGCTGCCCTCTAGGCCTGCCCAAGTTAGTGGGACGCTGGTCCCACACGCTCTCACTCACTTAGCGGCCTAGCAGCAGTCAACAAGTCCTACTAGCTCTCTCCCTCGTGGGCATGGCCCTCCTGGGCCACGGGCACACAACACACAAGCCTGTGTACCCACCACGACTTTGCAATTAAAGTAAGAAGCCTCCGAAAACGTTTATCATTGAACCCCGCTATGCAAGAGCCACCAAATAATCTCGTTATACAGTGAGCAATGTTCCTCCTATTGTTTTCTCTGTCCTTCCTCATAATCTGATATCCAGCTGAGAAAATAGCATATGTTTCCAATACATTACACTGCACGGAGATCTTAATCCTAATTCCTGCTTACTTCCAGCAGGTCTGGAGTTTTCCTAAGAATGTTATTAAGATTAATGTTGGAGTTTAACATGCAGAGGATGCGAATAGAGAAGATTTGAGGTAAAGGCTACTTAACGGGTTTAAATCCTATCGACTACTCAGGGCCAATAAATCTGCACCTAATCTTTTTACCACTGGGCAAAATAGTTTAATCTTTAAAATGGAGATTGAGGTACACTCTCAGTATTTATACAGTGAGACAAATACACCTTTCAGTGATTGTATTCTGCATTGAGGTAAACTTTTGAGTGTTTTAATGTGATTAGTAGACGTTAATCATGACTGGAACAGTATCGTCTCACCGCGAGTATTGGATGGGATGTGTAGGGGCTTAGGACGCTGTTGCTGGTGAAATTCGCGGGCGTGGAGCTGCTCGCGGACGTGGAGCTGCTCGCGGGCGTGGTGGGCGTGGTGCTGCTGAAGGTCTCTTGTGGGCGTGGGCGTGGGCGAGTTGTCAGACTCCGAGGACCCGCGGGTCTCGTTGCCACTATCTGACCGGGATGCCATCATCTAGCGCTGACGGTGCTGCCTGCACGAAAGAAACATTAGACCTGTTAGAAGGTGGCACTAGAGAACCAGGGGAGAACTAGGGCAAGATGGTAGCACTGGGGAAGCAGGGTAACCCTAGGGCAAGAGGGTGGCACTAGAGAACCAGGGTAGAACTAGGGCAAGAGGGTAGCACCGGGGAACCAGGGTAACCCTAGGGCAAGAGGGTGGCACTAGATAACCAGGGTAGAAATAGAGCAAAGAGGGTAGCACCAGGAGACCAGGGTAACCCTAGGGCAAGAGGGTGGCACCCTGGTGGCATAGAATGGCACTCCAGTAAATTCAAAGCTACGTGTTAATTTTACAACAGAAAGATAATTAATGTTACTCTTGCTTTGGGTTGTGAGTATATACACCGAGAGGTATATATCTCAATGTATATACACTAAAAGGTATATATCTCAATGTATATACACTAAAAGGTATATATCTCAATGTATATACACTAAAAGGTATATATCTCAATGTATATACACTGACGAGGTATATTTATCAATGGATATACACTGAGAGGTATATACCTCAATGTATATACACTGAGAGGTATTTGTCTCTCAGTGTACTCAATGTATACACATGGAGAGTGTGTCTCTCAGTGTATATTCACTGAGAGGTGTATACCTCTCAATGAATATACAGTGAGAGATGTATACCTCTCAGTGTATATACAATGATAGGTGTGTGTCTATTAGTATATACACTGGTAGTTTACTCTAATCTCTATTTCAGGTATTAAAGTATACTTGACTGGTGTTGTACAAGTAGTAGATAGGTTTTAAACCTTATTAACAAACCATTAATTATTTTCCTTTATCTTAGTCCGGTGGTGGTCCACAAGGACCACAAATACAGAGTTGATGGTCCACAAGGACCACTAATAGAGTTGATGGTCCACAAGGACCACTAATACACAGGTGATGGTCCACAAGGATCACTAATACACAGGTGATGGTCCACAAGGACCACTAATACACAGGTGATGGTCCACAAGGACCACTAATACACAGGTGATGGTCCACAAGGACCACTAATACACAGGTGATGGTCCACAAGGACCACTAATACACAGGTGATGGTCCACAAGGACCACTAATACACAGGTGATGGTCCACAAGGACCACTAATACACAGGTGATGGTCCAAAGGACCACTAATACACAGGTGATGGTCCACAAAGGACCACTAATACACAGGTGATGGTCCACAAGGACCACTAATACACAGGTGATGGTCCACAAGGACCACGAATACACAGGTGATGGTCCACAAGGACCACTAATACACAGGTGATGGTCCACAAAGACCACTAATACACAGGTGATGGTCCACAAGGACCACTAATACACAGGTGATGGTCCACAAGGACCACTAATACACAGGTGATGGTCCACAAGGACCACTAATACACAGGTGATGGTCCACAAAGACCACTAATACACAGGTGATGGTTCACAAGGACCACTAATACACAGGTGATGGTCCACAAGGACCACTAATACACAGGTGATGGTCCACAAGGACCACTAATACACAGGTGATGGTCCACAAGGACCACTAATACACAGGTGATGGTCCACAAGGACCACTAATACACAGGTGATGGTCCACAAGGACCACTAGTACACAGTCTCTTACAGTGTTATTCACTTACTGTGACCACGCATTATTTCCTTATTTGTGCGTATTAATTACTATGTCTCCCTATTTTATTGGGTGAATTAAACCTCCATATCTGCTGACTAAAAAAAATTCTCATTGCATTTTCCTGCTATTTCAAGTGTATTTTTTCAGTTAATATTTCCTCACTTGTGCTAAATTTTAATTTATCATTCTGTGTGTTACCTGGAGGTTACCTGGAGGTTATTCCGGGGATCAACGCCCCCGCGGCCCGGTCCATGACCAGGCCTCCCGATGGATCAGGGCCTGATCAACTAGACTGTTACTGCTGGCCGCACACAGTCCAACGTACTATTTTTTTTGTGTCATGAATATTGCATATTGCAATGTTCTCACTTTTGTTAATTTTTTTAGAGTAAAAACCGTATCTTGTGTGGAAGTAAGATATTATTTACAGCAAGATTACCTTTCAAGCAAGATTATTTTACGTGTAATAAGTGACCTACATTGGTATACATGTTCTCTACAATATGTAACTGGGTGAATTACCTTTGCTCGTATCTGTGTTATTGTTATTCTCAGTTTGCAACACATTCACTCATCCAATGTTTTTTTTTTCAATTTGTTAGTGTTCTATTTTGAGTAAATTGTTACTCTAACTGTGATTAAGAGTTAAATTATTCTCACCCATATATTTCGAGATGTTTTTTTAATTTTTCTAATCTATAATTTCTGTGTGTGCAATTTTAATTGATATATTGACTTAATTCTGCTTATTTTTCACTGTGTATTTTATCGTTATCAAGTGATTATCCCACTTTTTGCTCTGCTATTATATGCTCCATAATCCAGTTGCATTTGCTAGTCGTGTCCTTTCCAAGGATAAAGGTTACCTGGAGGTTATTCCGGGGATCAACGCCCCCGCGGCCCGGTCCATGACCAGGCCTTCCGATGGATCAGGGCCTGATCAATTAGACTGTTACTGCTGGCCGCACGCAGTCCAACGTACGAGCCACAGCCCGGCTGATCCGGCACTGACTTTAGGTATCTGTCCAGCTCTCTCTTGAAGGCAGCCAGGGGTTTATTGGCAGTTCCCCTAATGCTTGATGGGAGGCTGTTGAACAGTCTTGGGCCCCGGACACTTATGTTGTTTTCTCTTGGTGTACCAATGGCGCCCCTACTTTTTATTGGGGGCATTTTGCATCGCCTGCCCAGTCTTTTACTTTCGTAGGGAGTGATTTCTGTGTGCAGATTTGGACCATTCCTTCCAAGATTTTCCAAGTGTAGATTATGTATATTCTCTCCCTCCTGCGTTCCAACGAGTACAAGTCAAGTGCTTCCAAGCGTTCCCAGTAGTTTAAGGTGCTTGACAGAACTTATACGTGCAGTAAAGGATCTCTGTACACTCTCTAGATCTGCGATTTCACCTGCTTTGAATGGAGATGTTAATGTAAAGCAGTATTCCAGCCTAGAGAGAACAAGCGATTTGAAAAGGATCATCATGGGCTTTGCATCTCTCGTTTTGAAAGTTCTCATTATCCATCCTATCATTTTCTTTGCACGTGCGATCGTGGCACTGCTGTGATCCTTGAAAGTGAGATCCTCAGACATTACTACTCCCAGGTCCCTTACATTATTTTTCCGCTCTATTGTATGGCCGGAGTCAGTAGTATACTCTGTTCTAGTTTACAACACATTCACTCATCCAAGGTAATTATACAGTAAATGAGGAAGAACAGTTAACAATAGTCTGGTCTTTAAACCACTTCCAAGACATCTTATACCAGTATCCTGTTCGTGTCTTGATAGATCATGCTCCACTGATTCCTCTATTCCAGAATAAACAGCCAACTGGAAGATTAGCTAGATGATCCTTGATTATCCAGGAGTTCAATCCAACCTCCGAACACTTGCCTGGCAAATCAAGTGTATCTCCATATGTTTTATCTCGACACACTGGTACAGTAGTAGCAGATCCTTCATTCAGTGCCAAGGATGTAAAGAATACTCAAAGAACAGATCCTATGTGGTCTGATGTGATTCGATTCCTGCTGCAGGAAGATCGAACTTTCTCTGTGAAACCACCGCCACACATCAGTGACTTTCGTCATAAACCAAAAGTTACTGCATCGCATAGTTGATCTTGGTACTCTTAGTAGAAGAGTACATCAGCTAGGAATTCCGAAGTCACTAGTGAACGTAACCCTGCAGCTAGTTCACGATATACCAGGTGTTGTACAAGCTGGAATGGATCGTTCTGTACAACAAGCCAGATTAAAATACTTTTGGCTTCGCATGACAACCAACATTTCTGAATATGTTAAGAAATGTAGTGTTTACATGACTCACGAAATCGTAATGACACGATTGCAGACAAACCATACCCCGGCCGGGATTGAACTCCAGCCCGTCGCGTTAGCCACTAGTGTGGCGCGAGTTCAATCCCGGCCGGGGTATGGTTAGTGTTTACATGTAGCGCAAAGGAAATGTTAGTGAACCCAATCCAGTCCAAGTTTATCCCACAACTAGCGAACCATGGGGAAAAATAGTGACGAAGGAAACACTGTAGACTGTCATACGGAGGCATTATTATTAATTATACGTGGAGAGACAAGCCTGACCACGTCCGCCCGTCTCTAGGTCTATCAAGAAATGAGGAAGATCTCTATCGGCGCATGCGCAGGACGCAGCGAGGCTTGACAGGCAGCACGACTATAATCTACGATCAATGCACATAATGCTAGCCAAGTGTTATACTGATAACATTAATTCAGGGGTGGTGGTCCACAAGGACCACTAATACAATGGTGGTGGTCCACAAGGACCACTAATACAGGGGTGGTGGTCCACAAGGACCACTAATACAGGGGTGGTGGTCCACAAGGACCACTAATACAGGGGTGGTGGTCCACAAGGACCACTAATACAATGGTGGTGGTCCACAAGGACCACTAATACAGGGGTGGTGGTCCACAAGGACCACTAATACAGGGGTGCTGGTCCACAAGGACCACTAATACAGGGGTGGTGGTCCACAAGGACCACTAATACAGGGGTGGTGGTCCACAAGGACCACTAATACGGGGGTGGTGGTCCACAAGGACCACTAATACAATGGTGGTGGTCCACAAGGACCACTAATACAGGGGTGGTGGTCCACAAGGACCACTAATACAGGGGTGGTGGTCCACAAGGACCACTAATACAGGGGTGGTGGTCCACAAGGACCACTAATACAGGGGTGGTGGTCCACAAGGACCACTAATACAATGGTGGTGGTCCACAAGGACCACTAATACAGGGGTGGTGGTCCACAAGGACCACTAATACAGGGGTGCTGGTCACAGGACCACTAATACAGGGGTG